CCAACAGACTGGAAAACAATATGTAGTGTAATCTTTTGGCATTGGTCTGGAGAAACAGAGGCTCGTACACAGCTGGTGAGTGTCAAATAGGACATAATTTGACAATTCCCAGTAAATGTGACAAATGCAGATTCCTGAAAGTAGCAATTCTACTACTATAATCCCAAGAGAGAAGAACCCTGTACAGTATAAAGATGCTCACTGCAGCACTGTTTGGAATTATAGAAAATTGCAAACCAAATGGTCTCTCCATAATAAATGAATCACAATATATTTATACATTGAAATACAAATAAAATGAATGAACTAGATCAATAGTTTTCAAACTTCTTGGTCTCAAGACCCCTTTCACAGCCTTAAAAATTGAGACCTCCAAAAAGTTTTTGCTTATGTGGGTTCTATCTATATTTACATTAGAAATTAAATCTGAGGCATTTTAAAAAGAATTTATAAATTGATAAAACAATAAACCCACTTTATGTCAACATAACACATTACTATTTTCAAAAAAATAAAAACAGTGAAAAGAATAGCATTATTTTACATTTTTGCAAGCCTCTTTAAAAATCAAGCTTAATAGAAGCCAGCTGGATCCCCTTAACTGCTTGTGTTCAATTTAAGACATCATGTGTCATATAGCCTTTGTACAGCACCCATGCAGTGTACAGAGGGATGCAGCTAGAAGAATCTTAAGAGATCCTTGGGAACTTCTGGAACACACTTTGAGAATCACTAAACTAGATCCACATACAACATGGATAAAACTCAAAAACACAATGCTAAGTGAAGAAAATGACAAACAGTATGATACTGTTCATGGAAAGTGAAAACGCACAAAGCAATACATACTTGTTTTTGGTACATACATATTAGGACAGTGGTTAGTTACTTCTGGCAAAGAAAAGACAGGAATGGAATGAGGGGCACTCTTTAACTGAATCTATGAGATTTTCTTTCTTTACACAAACAAAAAATGTTCTGAAGCAAATATATAATTAAATATTAAGATCTGTTAAATCTAGGTGATACTTGCTTCTCTGAAATATTTGTAAATTGAACTTGTAATTCTGAAATATTTCATAATTTAAAGTGGACCTCCCTTTGAGTAAATATAGTTGTAAGAATCTGGATTTTATAAAACATTGTTTAGAAAAGTAATTTCACAGGAATAAGAATACACAGGCTATATTAACCCCAAATAGTTAAGCAGTGGGGATGAGGTGGAGGTTACTCGACTTATGTGGTGTACCTAAGTATGTATAACCCTTGGTCAAAGGACACACTGACTAGATCAGTGAAGGCGAACCTTTTGAGCTCGGCGTGTCAGCATTTTGAAAAACCCTAACTTAACTCTGGTGCCGTGTCACATATAGAAATTTCTTGATCTTTGCAACCATAGTAAAACAAAGACATATTTTTGATATTTATTTTATATATCTAAATGCCATTTAACAAAGAAAAATCAACCAAAAAAATGAGTTCGCGTGTCACCTCTGACACGCGTGTCATCGGTTCGCCATCACTGGACTAGATGATTGAATAGTTAAAACTATTCAACTACATAACAACTACATAAAACTCTCTGCACCCAATAATTAATTGTTTTTAGAGATAATGACCATGTGCCAGGTACTGCTTGGAGACAAGAATAAAACTGTTTCTACATTGAGAGTTTAGAAAAAAATGACGAAAATATAAACACAGTTAAAATATAATAAATTAGCGCTGACCAGTGTGGCTCAGTTGGTTGGAGCGTCATCCCTTGCACAGAAGGGTCTTGGGTTTGATTCCCAGTCAGGGCACATACCTAGGTTACAAATTCAATTCCCATTTGGGGTGAGTACTGATGTTTCTCTCTCACATCGGTATTTCTTTCTCTCTATCCCTCTCCCTTCCTCGCTTTCTAAACTCAATTTAAAAAACAAAACAAACTTGGGTGAAGAGTAAATGCTAATAAATTAAAGATGTCCACATTGCTATATGAGACAGAGAAAAATGAGCCTGGGAAAATAATGATGCCATTAAGAGAAAGAAAACTAGAAGTAGGTGTTGTTTTAGGGACACTGGGTTTAAAAAAGATTATTTTTCCAATATTGGACATCTATTTACTATGTGCCAGATAAATCTTGTTTCAGCCGTGTTGAGACAGCCGGAAACCTGGGTGGAGATGGTCAGTAGGCAACTGAAAATGATAGATGAGAAACTAAAAGAGAGGATGGGCATGGTATGAAACACTGGAACCCGGAGAGAAGATTTGAGCAAAAAAAAAAACACAGAAGACTGACCTTGACGGAAATTTCATGATATAAGACAGAGAAGGCAAAGAGTTTCGGAAACACAGAATACTTTTATGCGACACACCCAGTGACATGCTGTGGAACAGTTACCCAATTTAGGAGTAAGTGGGATGAAAAGAAAAGTACTGGTGAAAGAAAAAAAGACAGGTGAGGTTTTCTGCACGATGAGCAAACCTAGGAATGTTTATAAGGGGAGGGAAAGGCACCAGTGGAGTTAGAAGGCAATGATGCAATCGGCAGATTCAGATTCACTAACAGGTCCGTCCCAAAGGACGGGTGGGGTGCACAGGAAGAGCAGCTGGGCCTGAAGGAGGCCAATTCTTCCTGCAGGGAAGGAACAGGGGGGAGGAAAGCCTTAGAGACTAAAGAAGAGCATGATATGGAAGGAAGTAAGCGCAAATGCTCAGATTAGATGATCATCTATCCTGATTTAAGTAAAAGATTAGGTAATCTCTGCTAATGCTGAGGGGTTCCCAGGGCGGGTTGAGGAATTTAAGAGTAAAAAAGTCTGATTGCTAGTATATGCACATATAATAAAAACAAGGTCATCATTGACAATACAAGTACAGATGGGGTTAGAGAGAAAGTATTTGCAAAATGAATGCGGAAAAAAAATTGTTTTAATGTATTCTGAGCATTTTTTTAAAAAAGGAAACTTGCACCTACCTGAAACATCTACATAACTTAAAAATTAACACTTCAGGTATCCAAGATGGTAAGGTAATAAGGTTTTCCAGATCAAAGTCTACTCTTTCACGCAAAAAGCATTTTATACATAACAGTTGGAGATAGAAATCCTTCTAAACTATGCACTTATCTGTCTCCTTCATTACACAACTTGAGTCTAACAATCTTTATCTTGAACATCCACTCTTGCTGTAGTAAAACATCTACTGCTGCTGTACTGTGTATGCAACCATTTTCTACGTCTTTCCCAGCTGGCAAGAAAGAAAGCAACTGGTTCTTCTTTCTAAGTGTACGTTTACTCTTACCACCTCAACAACCCAGCCCCTTAGCAACTTGCTTCCAGTGGGCCTCCTACAACGCACTGTTTCTTAATCGTCTGTAAACCATGGCCCTTTATGACAACCATGAGAATCTCCAGTTCCCTCCCGTCCTCTCACGGAGCATCGATACTCTGACCTGCCACAGTCTAGGAATGGAAAAACTATAACAAGTTTCCAGTGAATATTTGTTTTATGTCATAAAATTCTATGGCACACATCCCCCACATGTGCATCTATAATAGTCAAAGATTAATCACAACATGAGAAGGCTTCGCTTAGCAAACAGCCTTGGTTACTCTCACAAGGGAGAACCGGGATTGCAAAGGGCCGTCTGAAGGCTGCTGCCTTTTTAGTAACCGGCTCTTCTAACCTACTTCTCAAACACTGATTCTTTCAAAATTACTACGGGAATGCTTACAAATTCATTCCTCATTTTAGTAAAGTAATCTACGGCACTAGTCCTGTATTTTTCACCTGGTAAATGAAAAGTTAGGAACCCCTCCCTGTTTGTTTGCTAGAGAAATTATAATAACTGAGCAAAAGGTTATTTGCAACGAGAAGTTAGGATAGAAAAAAGGAGCAGCTATCTAATAGATGGATCATTGAAAAGTAGTAAAATTGGCTTAACTTCTGAATATTCTTCATAATCATTCCAGTAGTGAAAACACTGGTGAACTTAACTACTCTTCGTTATTTCTCAACTCTGAAACTTTTCCGTCTAATGGAACTACTAAGCGAATATAAAGCCCAAAAACTTGAGGGCTCCCTGGGCTCCCCCATTGGGTTTATAAGCCGTAACAACTTGCAAGCAAGCTCTTCCACCACCTACCTTTTCTGCCCAGAATTGCCACCACTCCCCTACCTACACTATCTACTCCAACCAAACTGTAAATACTTACTGTTTTCCGACGAACATTCACCCTTCAAATGTCCCTTCCCCACCTCCGCCACCGCTTAATAAAGTCCTACCCATCATTCAGTAGCCTCAAAATGTCAGGAACACTTCCCTGATGTTCCGAAAGGAAACGTGCCTTCCCCCTGAAACCTCAGTAATTAATTGTACCTTTCTCTCGCAGCACTTGAGTGCACTTCGCCTCGTCTCCTCTACCATTAAACAACGAACTTCTTGCAGCCACGCTGCATTACAAGACCCGTTTTAAATCGTTCTTAGCACCCAGTACAACGCATCCCTAACACTGGGCTCTCCGAGTTTCCTGGAGAGTTGTACGGTACACGATCAAAGGTATTTTAAAGGACGGAATTACACCTTCGAATTTTTCAAATCAAACAAAGACTCCTAAATAACATAATAGATACATGAACAAAAAATACCGCATCACATTGTTGTCGCTCGGTAAGAAAATAAAACTTTCTGCCCTTCCCCTTACTCCTTAAAAAAAAGTAAATACTACCAACAGATCGCGAATAGCTTAAATGCACCTTTTTCAAGAAAGTAGTTTCAAGAAAAAAAGTTATTCCCAAATAAATGAGCTCAAAAGACTCCTTCAAATGCTATTCCTCCGTTCTCGTCCTGTGTAATTTTCACTTTTTCTCCTATTGGATAAGAGAGTGGTGAGAACTTCTTCTTAGCCAATTGGATTGCTACTGCTTTATTTAGACTCTGAAGAAGGCAATGATTGTTGGAAAACCGCATCGAGGGCGCCGTAACAGCCATGTATGACTTTGTCTGACTTACAATAAAATGTCTTGGGGTGCCACTTGCCGTAGTGAGCCCAGATATTTGGGCTGCCATCCGCCCCGATCGCCCTTGGGCCGCTAAGAGAGCGAGGAAAAGACGCGGGGCTGGGGACGCAGAGAGAGACGACGTCGCAAGCGTCAGAGCGGCGGCGATGGCCGCCTGCGCAGCTCAGTTGAAATGCAGCGGAAGCAGCAGCCCGTCTAGGGGCTGCGCGAGGCAGGGCAGGAAGGTGGCGCTGCCGCCGAGCGCCAGGAG